GTAAAACAACCATGCTTAAAACGGCCCCGGTAGAACACTGCATGTAAATGGCCAATCTTAGTAAAACAGCCATGCTTAAAACGGCCCAGGTAGAACACTGCATGTAAGTGGCCAATCTTAGTAAAACAACCATGCTTAAAACGGCCCAGGTAGAACACTGTTACACTGCTTGTATGTGGCCAATCTTAGTAAAACAGCCATGCTTAAAACGGCCCAGGTAGAACACTGCATGTAAGTGGCCAATCTTAGTAAAATAGCCATGCTTAAAATGGCCCCGGTAGAACACTGCATGTAAATGGCCAATCTTAGTAAAACAGCCATGCTTAAAACGGCCCAGGTAGAACACTGCATGTAAGTGGCCAATCTTAGTAAAACAACCATGCTTAAAACGGCCCAGGTAGAACACTGTTACACTGCTTGTATGTGGCCAATCTTAGTAAAACAGCCATGCTTAAAACGGCCCAGGTAGAACACTGCATGTAAGTGGCCAATCTTAGTAAAACAGCCATGCTTAAAATGGCCCAGGTAGAACACTGCATGTAAGTGGCCAATCTTAGTAAAACAGCCATGCTTAAAACGGCCCGGGTAGAACACTGCATGTAAGTGGCCAATCTTAGTAAAACAGCCATGCTTAAAACGGCCCGGGTAGAATAATTTTGCCCAATAACTGCAATAATTTCCAATACCGGTATTATACATTTTTTGTGTCGTGTTTAACTGCTTTTGAAATTTAATGACAGATGTATTTAAAAAATTTCATATATTGTGCTTTTAATTGTTACTCCCAGAAATACCAGGATGGATGACCTTTAGGGGTAATGCATAAGTAATGTTTAAGTACATTGGTGGGATTAATTGTAATGTAATTGTCAGAATTTGAGATTCTTTCTTTTATTTTTCAGAACAACTCTAATGGACAATCAAATAAGTTTTGTTCAGTAGGTACTCGACTACCCGATGTACATGTTATTATCATGGATGACAACTTACATCCATTACCAGTGGGAGCACCAGGAGAGGTAAGTGACAACCAGGTTGTTGTTATCGTGAATGTAAAAAATTGAAGAGGTAAATTTCTTAGACTAGTACCTTATTACCAAATCTGTCTGATTGTATAGTTTTTTTGATATGTCAGCCCACATAATCTTGTACACTGAGTGAAATATGTTTTGATCATTACTTAATAAGATAATTGTTATTGAAAGTCAACTACATCCTTAATTTTCAGATTTATGTTGGTGGTCCTACATTAGCTAGAGGTTACCTGAATCGACCTCAGTTGAATGCAGAGAGATTTATTGATCGCCCGCCTGCTGTACCTGAATATATTGGTAAAAAACTGTACAAAACTGGTGATTGGGGTTATGTGCTGTCAGATGGAGGGCTGGAGATATGTGGTAGATGTGACTCTATGGTGAAAATAAGAGGATACAGTATTGAAACTCAGGTGAGTTAAAAAAAGCAATATGTCTATAATTATAAACATACCAGTACATAATTCTATCGATATGTATTTCACCTCAGTAAAGTTCTAACGTAACTGGAACTCCCTATGGTGAATACTAATGTGGTACTGGTACTAATTTTATTTGGAATATGTAAATGTCAAATAGAGTTGCCATAATTAAATTCAGAATTTCTGCAAATAAACTACCAATAGAGAAATTAAGAGCAACAGAGGAAAGGTTATGCATGCTATGTGATGATCTAGCTGTTGGCAATGAGATGCATGCTCTCAGAATGCAAGAACCCAGAGATGCTTATTTTTGGGAATAATGAAAAATTTGAGAGTTTGTCAAAACAGATCATGTTTTAGAAACTATTCTATCACCACTTTTAGGCAGTAGAAGCAGCATTACTAGAACTTCCAATGGTGAATGCTAATGTGGTACTGGCACTAGGTGACGAGGGAACTGATAAATATCTTGTTGCTTATATCGTACCAGAAGGTGATGCTACTAGGAGAGAAATTCGAGCTGAATTAAAGAAACGGTTGCCTCCCCATATGATTCCAGCATACTTAGTATTCTTGTCAAGGTATTACTAGCTATATGTAAAGCACCTGCAGTTGTTAGCCATGCTCTCTGTATTTTAACCTTTTTATCACCAGTTTTCATCATAAATTCTTCACAAATTCACAAAATAGTCTTGTTAATAGTCTGTTTTTTTCTTCAAAAGATTGGGACAAAAACATCAAATTTTGTTGAGTAAAAACTGAAAATGGACTCAAATTTTGTCTGTTGCCTCCAAAATTGGGGTTCATTTCCAGAAATATTGAAGAATTTAAAAAAAAGTGCACTAAAAAAAATTTGGGCGAGAAAGCAGTGAAAAGGTTAAACATGTATTTTAAACACAGCTGATGCTTGTTGTGCTTTAAAGCTGTATTATATTCTAGACATATTTGAAAGTTTTATATTAGATCTCAATTAAGCCTTGTCCTTCATATTAATGTTATATTTTTAAAGAATTTCATTTTTGTGATACACAATGGGCTGGCCACAACTGAATCTGGTACACTTTTAACGTAAGTTGTTCAATTTGGAGAGGGAAGAGGTTATAAAATTCCATTTTGGATTGTGTTCAGCCAAATTACAATATTATTATACATGTGGACATTTTTTTATATTTTGAATGCACTACTTTGCATGGTGTACAAACTGCACATTGGACCGTGATTGCATTGGACACACCATTTTTCAGGGGTGGGAAAAAAGAAAACATATTGGTTTCTCATAATATTATCCTTTTTCTTATCACGAAACACATATCAAAAAGAAGAAAAAAAAACTATGCAAAATACAGCCTAGAAGCATTGTAAAAAAGTTATTAATATAGCAGTTTGTACTTTAAATTAAAGAACTTTTGTTTTGATGGTGGTGGAGGCCTCCAGTTTTAGTGTTCAATGAATACCTCAAAAATGAATTCTATTCTATCATGACAGCATTCCCATCCTGGCAGCTTCTGGTAAACTTGATAAGAAATCACTGCCACCTATTGATCTGCATGGGGATCGGGGTGATGAGATTTGTACAGCCGCTAGTACAGAAACTGAGAAAATGCTTGCTTCTCTTTGGGCAGACATCCTCAGAGTAAGACAAGTTGATGTGCAAGAGAATTTCTTTGATCTTGGTGGGTAAGTGAACTAGGAAAGAAAGATTACCTCATGTCTATTGTATGTGGATAAAAATTCGATATAATTCATAATTTTTGAGAAAATTGGTCATAAATCGCATGACAATGTTCATTGGTTTATATTATGTACAATCATGGAACTTTTGTCCCATTGCACAATAAAACAGCATTTTTTGACTCCTGTGTGCGAAGCACAAAAAGGGAGTCTTTGCAGTTAGTGTGTCTGTATGTGTGTGTGTGTGTGTGTGTATGTGTGTGTGTGTGTGTGTGTTAGGTAACTTCATCCTCTGAAATGTTTCACCATTTCTCTTGAGACCTGAATTTGAATGTGATTCAGTCTCTGCCATTTGACAATTCAATTTCTGTTTTGATTTCTGAGGTTACCACAACAAGTACATGTACACTTATAACAAATATGTGGTTTCTCTCTACTGATCAGGTAAAATATCATTCATGGCAATTATTGTTGCAAGTAGAAAATGTAATAAATAGACAGCATGTTCTGTTTTTGTTCTGTCACTATAGAGATTTAACCCAAGATAATCATTTTGAGGTCTTTCAGGTCTCATGGGTGTCTGTTGTGAGGGAGCACCATTGAGTCGTTGCTAGTTGAGTAGCAAAAGGAAAATGGACAAGTGCCATGCATTTAGTTTTCAGCTTGTAGCTACAGTGATTATATAGAAAAGACAACAATTCCATAGATGAGCTGACTGACGTTAGTCTATCAGTCACTACTATTAATTACAATATTGTAAAATCCCTATACCGTTAGGCATTCACTGTTAGCTGCCAAATTGTTATCTCTGATCAAAGACAAAGTGAAAGTTGAAATCACAGTCCGAGACCTCTTTCAACACTCTACTGTGTCAGCTATGGCTAAGCTAATTGATGCCAAACTGAAGAAAACAGAAGACATGTAAGTTTCCCCATGATTCATTGCTCTATTTTACAGCCAGCAGCCTTATGTCCAACGGGGGATACAGTGGATTGAAATGACAGCCAATTGAATTATATTGTGATTTTATCTTTACCATCCAACTTTCATTGAAACATGACTGCCCAAAGTGTCATTGATTGATTCACTGATTGATTGATTGTATGTCAAGATCTATTACTATGTAATAGTATTGAACGGGTCCTACTAATTACCGCACGGACACGCGTGGGACTGTCCGAACACGCGCGCGAAGGAGCAGGGGAAATAACTAACGCGTAGGGGAAATAACTAACGCGCAGGGCAACGGCAGCAATCCTTGTACTGTATACTGATTTACCATTTCAGGCATATTCGGTGGGTTTTAAATTCACGGTTTTATCATTTAGATAATGTGTTCTATGCTTAATTTTACATATTCGCTGGGTTTTAATTTAGCACATTTTCCAGTTAGCAAAATAAGCAAAATTAAAACCCAGTGAATAATTAATCCCTTTACAGTAATGTTCATTTATGCTCAAAATTTGAAACAAAGTGGCGAATTCTAGCAGCTATCCACACTTTTTATGATCGATGCCTGGGCATTTTGGTGAGTCAAGTCCGCCATGTTGTTTACTAATGTTGGTTAGCATCCAACAATAGGACAATAACATTTAATCCATAGGGGTGACAATGCTACGTATACATACTATGAAATCGGTATCCTAAGAATATCTGTTTCGGACAAAAATGCACTGTTTATTGTAGAGATATTGTATGCAAGGAACCTGTATTAAACTTGATGTCCGAGGTAGTGCGACATGACCAGGGTGGTGTGAACATCAATATGCAGCTTAGAGCCTTCTGGAGATCAATACAGTATGGTAACAGATGGAAATCAGGACGTGTCTTCTTAACTGGAGCAACTGGATTTCTTGGTGCATTCATTTTGAGGGATCTCTTGCAGCACACAGAGGTAATTGGTTTCTATAACTAACCTTCCATGTCTTCATGGAAATATATCAGTAGGCATCTTCATAAACTCTGTTGACTGGCATTTTGTTCAGATATCACCTTACTGTGGTATTTGCTTTATCATATTTCAAGTATTGAAACCTAAAATTCCTTGGGAAGAATTAAATTGGTTGCATAACAAAAAAAACTAAAAAAAAAATACCAAGTTTTCAGTAATGCACATAAATGACAGAGGCGTATGATCATATTTTAATGATCCATTATACAATAAACAGCATTTGAAATTTCTTCAAATTGTACACCAAACACAGGAGCAGGTGACTTTCAAATTTCACCAGCCCTGTAAGAAAGTTACCTACCCTGCATTAAAGATTATTTTAAAATACTTCTGTTCCCATTGCAAGTAAGCACCACAAAAACTCTCTGCTGAAATACACAGCGGGTAATTACATTTTTTTAGTCCCCGTTCGGATGCAGTCAGAAAACGGGGACTTATGTTTTGACCTCCGTGTGTCCGTGTGTCCGTGAGTGCGTGCGTCCGTGCGTCCGTGCGTGCATCCGGACCTGTATCTTAGAAATGCCTGGACCAATCACAATCAAACTTCACACATACATCATACATGATATTATACATATGCACGTCAATTTGTTTCATGATCTGATTCAAGATGGCCGAATGGCGGCCATTTTTGTGCTAAAAATCATCAAAATCAAACATTTTTCGGCTGTTTACAAATTCAAAATTGGTACGTTAGATATTATAGGACCTTGATGCACATCATTTTGTTTTTCAGATAAGATTAAAAATGGCCAACTGACGGCCATTTTGTTTTAATGAATGTGGTTCTAGTGCCATATTTCTGACTTGCTTTGACTGATTATGTTCAAATTTTAAATATTCATTATAGATCATATCATAGATATACGAATATATTGGTTTGACGATCCTATTAAAAATGGCCGAATGGTGGCCATTTTTGTGCTAAAAAATCATCAAAATCAAGCATTTCCCGGCTGTTTACAGGTGGATTTTGTTCAAACCTTGTATATACGTTGGACATTATAATACCTTGATGCACATCATTTTGTTTTACGATCTAATTCAAGATGGT